TAATTTAGGTTTATTTCAATTTTTTTTGGGGTGGTTATGAGGTCGGTTAACATGAAAATTACTTTGCACACGGACTATTCAAAACAAATACTCAATATATATTCATGGACAAAACTTTATTTTATTTTATTAAAAGTACTTCACTAAAAAATATGACTTTTTATATGCGAAAGACTTATAATATTAACTGAAAGACTGCCAAATTTCGTGAAGATATACCCAATATAGAGAGAGTTATAAGTATTAAATTTATGTCAACTTTAAACGAGTATAGAAGGTCACGTGACTTTGACCCAGGGACCGAGCCCGTGTCGAAAGAGGTAATTGGCTAAAGTTTAAAATGTTATTTCAAATTGAGTCAATAAGAAATATGTATTTAAATCCTTCTTATGAACCACAACCAGAAAAAACTGAAAGTTATTCCTTACCTGAAATTGTATTTCCAAGAGATACCTCTCTGTACATAGTAGCTATATCTTTTACACCTGCCTTGAACTAACTCCCACATAAATCACGTGTTTTGACATGAACTGTGCTAGTACATGATGTAATCATCATGCAGCAATAGGAGGGTAACACATCTTCCATGCTCAATAGATATCCATAAGCATTTGGACTCAAAATTAACTTCATTCTCAGAAAAAGCAAAAATAATGTGCATTGGTAGTGGAGAAAGTGTAAAGATGTGGGGAAGGGGCTGGTGTAACTGAGAAAACTTAGATGAACTTCCTTCAAAGAAGATGTTAGAAGGGGGAAGCCTGTAGAGCATGACACCTAGTAGTGGGGGCTTACTAGAGGGGCAATACTCGTGGGAGACCTCATCTTCGCCCAGATGGAAGTATGAAAGAAGAAGGGCAAAAATGAGCCAATGCATCACATGGATGAACAGAATCAATACATTACCAACTAAGCTTTTTGCACACGAGTTGTATAGACGTGAGATGTAGTTTGGCTAGGGCAATAATCACACCATATGGTTTGGTATGTGTTCTGTTGCACAATTTATTCACCATACATACAGAAATGGGGACTAAGTTTCCTTCTGGCCTCCCAAGGAGAATGCTTTGCCTCATCCAGCTGGTTAAAATTACCAGGAAATAGGCATACAATATCATATGGGGTGACCTACACTACACTGACAAGGATAACCCTGCCATACTTCCAACTGTCTTGTGCTACCCACTGGGACTCTCCGGAGGATTAAATAACTGGTGGGGAACTATCCAAGTCAATCACCCCAGCAGCTAGGAACTGGGAATGGAAAGGGTCTCCCATATTCCATTCAAAGAGCAAATGGATATATGCCTTTGGGAAACATCAGAGAGGTGTATGGACACGATCTGACCTAACCATAGCAGAGGTCTTTTACTGGAGAAAATGCATTTACAACAGAACCTATTTTGAAAAGCAACATGCACAAGCCAGAGAAGTTGGTAGGCACTACCCCAGACATATATATATACACACACACACCACTGCAGTGGTCTTTCAGAAAACCCTATCACAACAATGGGCACATAGAAACCAGGGCAGATTGGCTTAACACTATCCGTTAAACCTGACCCGAAGCAGATTTAATGAAGTAAATATATCTTGTGAGGCAACACAAGGCATTGGGTGAGTTCTGGAATGGAGATGAGACTATTATTATAAGTGAGTAAAGTAATAAATGAGGTACTTACTCTATTAACTTTGGTGGGTAGACTGAAGAATGGCAACTTGAAGGATAGGAAGTCTAGATGGAGATGAAATTACTAGGTGATGAAAAAAAGTGTGTTGATTGTTGATAACCTCCCTGTCTGTAAGATCTCATTAAATAGTCACTGAAAGAGCAAAGTGAGTTAAGGGATGAATCTGAAGAGAAGTGATGTGATAGATAGAGTCTGCAAGTGTCATCCACTACAGAAGAACAAATGATCCAGAAAAAGTGCTAAATCTAACCAGTTAAACTAGTTTATGGAAGAACCTTGGGTGAGAAGAAGTCACAAAGCAAGAACAGGTGATAGCAGGCATCCTGAAAGATGACTATGGTTGTAATAATCATTGTGGGTGGGTTGTAACAATCAGTGTGGGCAGAAAATGATGGAAAAGAAACAGGAGAAAAGAACCTATCTCCTTCTCAAGTTGACCATGTGTAGGAAAGGAAAGAGCAGTAAAGGAACAAAAGGGAGTAACATTTGTGGAATAGGGTATGGGAAGCATATAAAGCATAAATATCAAAATAGCAATGACCCCAAGCCAGAAGTAAGAAAGAAGCCTTCAAGAAAAAGTAACAAAAAAATAGAAATAGCTAAGGGGTCAAACTGGGTTTGGGTGAGGGTGTAAAGAACTACAAGAAGGTCCAATCAGGCAAATGAACCAGATGAGGAGACAGAAGACGAAGGGCCAGAACAAAGTAGAAGAATGGGAAAAAAGTCAAAAGGTGGCTAACAAAGTATACAATATCCCACCATGGTGTAGACCAACAATCTCTGGTCAAATAGTCTGGTAAAGAAATATGAATGATGGGCAAAAGAAGGATGACCCAGAGGTACAGAGTGTCTGATGGACCAGTGATGATATAAATGTCATTTGTGTCAGGGACCATATGGAGCAAAATGATTAAATGAGTAGTACAAAAGAAATTGTCCTTCAAGTAAGGAATGGACCATCTTATGCACAAAGACACTGTAAAATAAAAGAGTCATGTATAAGGTCAGAATAAGATCCTTAATGATGGAAAAATAAGACATGCCTAAAAAGCCAACTGATAGAGAACAGATGACCAAGACTGAGCTAGCCAATAAAGTTCTATCAACAGAACCTGACAAGAAGTGCCATGAAACATTGCCAAGACACATGGGGAGAGTCCAATACAAACTGAGTGTGTTCACAACCAGAACAGCTGGTTAAGGGACTAGGGACCAAAAGAGCTGAAGTGACCAGTGGAGAAGGATGAGCCTAAACAAAGTACAAAGAGAAAAGGACTCAGAGATAGTTCAATAGCCTCTCAGAGGAAAAGAGATGTGAATGTAAAAGAGGTCTATCATGCAGAAATGAAAAATAACCAAATATCCAGAAAAGAATGGAAACGAAAGCCAAGACTGTAAATGTGACAAGCTCTCAGGATTTAGCTGAAGACATAATGAGAAAAGTCTATGCCAAAGGGTAGAACTTAAAACTGATATACCATATCGTGATGGACAAACTGAAGGAAATGGCATGCTGACAGGGCTATTGGAATGAGAAAGTAAAGCATCCGAGACATGAATTGCGTTCATCCAAAGATCAGGAGAAAGCAACATATTAAAAGAAAGAAATCCCTTCATCTGAAACTGGGAAATCATCAGAAGTGGTTCAGAGAAAAAGAAGAATGAGGGGATGTTCCTCCCCAGTAGTCAATGAATGGATGGGAACTGTAACATGGAGAGGGGCAAGTGACTCTCTCTAAGGCATTCAAAAGCAAGGGTTCTGACATCATCTCAACAAGAAGGTGGAGGAAATATAATGGGAAGAAAAGAGGAGAGAAAGGCATTAGGTAAGAACCCAAGGGTCACCCATGAAGCAAGTCCACAGGTGAGAAGAGAAAAGAAAAAGTGCCACCATATGACCCAAGCAAACTAGATACAAAGAGAGGTATTCACTGGTGGAACGGACAAAGGTTAACTCTCCAGGAGAGGGGATGATGAGGGGAGGTAGAGAGGTGAGAAGATGAAATGTGAGAGAGGATGAGGGTACATGGGCCAAAGAACACAAAGGTATGCATAAGAACAAGCAAGATGGGAGAGTAAAGAAGTTAGAAAAAATTGATGATAAGTAGCTGTTGCCCAAGACTCCAAGATGAAAGGAACACCTCATAGACCACTTGGTTAATGAGTAGAGTGAGACACAAGCAAATAGGGAGGATTGAGAAAGTTTAAAGACAGAGAAAAGAGTATAACAACTGAATGGATCTCAACAACACAGAAATCATATGAAGAAAGCCAATGACAAGACACTGTCCTAAGTGTGAAGGATAAACTAGAAATACCCAAGAAAAACTATCTGGATTCCAGTGAAGAATCTCATTTAGGAGATAAGAAGAAAACTGTTAAGGAAGAGAGCAAGGAGAAGTCAAAAATGAGAGAAGTGATCTCTGGTAGAAGATACTGGAGACAGAGGGTCAATGGCCAAGCAGGCAGGAGGGATTTCAGGAACTGAAGATTCAAAAAGGCAGAAGTGGAGCAACCATAAGCCATATTAAGGGAATCAATGAAATGTAAAGGATAAGATAGAGAATGCTGGGAACAATGCAGAGAGAAGAAGATCTCAGCACAGATAATAAAGTCAGGTGAAGGTGAAAAGAATAAAACTACAGCATGAAAGCATGAAATAAAGATTGTGAAGAAACAAAGAAAGCAATAGAAAGGGAAATCATAGTACAAAACCAACAGAAACAGTAAAATGAAAGAGAGAAATGATGTGTTCCTCACCAGCAAACAATGAGGCCAAAGCAAAACTACGCAATGTAAAGAGCTGGAGAAAATGTCAACCTTGTGGTCGGGTTCAGGAATGGAGAACACACAGGAGGAAGTGGGAAGAAAGGCGAAATCCATAAATGATAAAAATTGGCAACAACATCTTCCACAGAATAAGAAACTCTAGTAGCCATAAACATGGTAGAAGTTGTGACAAGTTTCAAGACATTACAGTTTAAAATTTCTTGAGTTCTTCAAACAACCA